ATGTTTGTTCTTCTGTTTCTGGATTGTTTTACTAAGCATAATGTATTCAAAGTCCATCCATATTGTAGCATGTATCACAATTTCATGCCATTTCTGTGGTTGAATACTATTCCTTTGTTTGTATATGCCGTGTTTTGTTTATCCATTCATCTGTGGATGGACCCTGGGGTAGTTTTCACCTTTTGGTCATTATGAATAATGCTGCTGTAAACATTAGTAATACAAACATCTGTCTGAAGGCTTTCATGATTTTGGATATATATTGAAGAGTGGAATTACTGGGTCATATGACAGTTGTCTGTTTAAAAATGTCAGTTCTTTTTTCTCCCCTGGTTCTAACTCTTGTACCAATACCAAACAAGGCTAACTTCTCTTGATGTGAATATACTTTAAGCATTTGAAAAGAGCTATTTTTGTCCCTCCTAGCCCTTCTTTTGTCTAAGCCAAAAGTGATACAACTTTTGGGTGGGAACCCAAATGTACGATTTTATATGAACCCTCTCTACGCTTCACTTCATTACCTCCATCAGTTAGTTCATTCTCTGGGGATAGCCAAATATCTATTCTGGGATCCAATTCATTAGATACCTCTCCCAGGTGTATGTCTTCCTGCCTTCGAAATACACTGAGAAAACACTTAAGATTCATAAAAGCAGAAATCATCTTAATCCTCCGGATCATGAATAATCAAAAAGAGGATGATGAAGATAACATTATTCAGTCTATTTTTTAAATTTCTCACGTGGATCCATTTGGAGTGTTTATATCTTTATTTTATTAATCTTTAGGGAGGAATTATTTTTGATATTGTGCTGGTTGACCTGAGTATTATACCACAGTGTAGAACATCCTTGCACACAGTAGAGGTTCAGTAAAGACTCGTTGTAAGAATGGAAACATGGGCCTTTCTCCTGCAGATGTTTTTATTGAGAGCAGATCTCTCCATGTCAAAGGTCACCGTGATTATTGGAAGGCTGCCTTACGCCCATAACCTTGACACCAATTGTTTCCATTACTGGGATTCTGCCGAAAGTAAATGTAGGTTATGTCTGAGTCCAGTTTATTGTAATGGTTAAAGAAGACAAAGTGATACTCTGCATATCTCTATAAATTACTTAGCCATTAAAGCTCAAAAAAGAATAATCATATAAAATACTTATATCTCCTAAAATCCCAATGTGGAATAAACCTTTTTTTAAATATCCTTCTGGGATCTTCCTTCAAAACAGTTGTCTGGTCACTGGGGCATACGCATAGGTGGTGCGTTAGTCTTACAGAATGCCTATGTAGTGGGTTGACCAAAAACTATTTTAATTAAAGGGCATAGCTCCTGATAGAGTGTTTCTTGTACATGTATTGAAGAAGAACATTTTGGGGGGTGGGGGGAGCTAAATTTATGTAAAAATTCTTATTGATTTTTTTTGTCACGTGGGGAAATTTTCAAACTTGCTGAAGATATTAGCTTATACACTCTGTTGACACTATGGTTATTCTCATTTCTGAAAGAAATATAGTCTACTTACTTTTTTACTCTTTTAATTTAACCTCACATATTTATAACATTTTTAAAAACATTAATAGAATAACTTTTTTGAGAATAGGATGTATCTTTTGGTTTATAAGGCATTGTAGGTCTTAAATATCATATGTAGCAAACTGAAAAATCACGAATGTCACCACAATTTGCAAGTGATTTACATTTGCAGAACTGTGACAAGCTCAAAAAAAAAAGGGGACAGTGCTTATGGAAGAAACATTTCAATCATTCAAATAAGTAAATCTTGGTTGTATTGTTCTTTTCTTTTGAAAATTTTGTTGTTGCTGTTCAATTACAATCTTCTCCATTTTCCCCCATTGCTGTCTTCTGACCTATCCACCCAACCTCCCACATTCAGTCCTCCCCCGCCCGCCCGCACCGCCCTGTGTCTTTGCCCATGGGTCCTTCATACATGTTCCTTGACTTGATCCTGCCCCTTCTTTTCCCTACTGTTTCATCACCAAGTACCTATACTGATTTGGGATAAGATTAGTCATCCTATGTTACTTTTTATTAAAAAGATTGTGAGGAAAGTGACTAATGAAGTGACCCTCCCATCTTGCTCATAGAATTCAACTTCAAATTTCCCATTTCAACTATCCCCTGAGAATGAAATTATTGTTGGAATATGAATCAACTTTGATCTTTCTTTCTCCACACGACAGCCCAGTGATTCATATATGTAACACACACACACACACACACACACCCCATTAGGACACAGCTATTTTGTTGGTGGTGAGAAAGGGTGGAATATTTGGTATTTTGCATTGTACCTGCTTCCTCTCTTTCTCATCCTCACAATCCCATAATCGCTACTCTTTTCAACTGAAAAATCAGGTGAAAAAATTAACAACAGCAAAAATATAAAAGGAAAAGCTAATTATTTTACTTATTTTCCTCTTGGTAAATAGCTGAGAGCACTGTTGACCATTTCCTATGGCTTGTTTTGCAAGTGATTAACTCACTGACTTTACTAAATACTGTCCTCTAAAATCAATGACTTTCAACTAGTGTGCTGCAAGAATTTTTAAAACATGTAGTGCCCAACTATTTAGTCAGGGGCATTGACCTCTTTTCCCTTATCTTGTCAAATAAAAAAATGACAACAGCTAACACAACAATAAACAGCCAGTGTGAATGAATCCCAATTATACATAGTTTTTGTCAGGTTGACAACGAACACATTTTGTGGTGTGCTGTAGAATTTTAGGAATTAGTTGATGTGTGCCAAGGGATGAGAAAGGTTGAAAATCACTGCTCAGGATTATGATGAAAATGTTTTCACTGAAAGAACTGCAGTAACATATTTTGCGCATTTGAATTGAGTCTCCTCTTTCTCCCTCCACACCTCCAGTTATAACAATGTTCACTTGTCCAGAATATCTATTAGCTAAAAGTTGGATTAAAGATGTTTGTTTAGAATAGTTGGCTTCTTTGTGAAAATGGGAGCAATTGGAACAGATTAAGATTAAATGGCATTGGAAGAGCTGGGTGAGCTTGATGAACAGAAAGCTAGAGTAGAGTTGATTTCCTGGCACCGTTTCCTTAGCAAAGAGAACAATTTTAATCAGTGACAAAAATATTTGGGATCCATATGTTTCTCCCTGCTCATTCCCATATGCCCATATTTGCTTTTATCTTGGTGGATGATGACTTTATGATTCAGGCATGCAAGAATAATACCTCGCTGGCTTCAGAGCTCAGTGCTATTTCAAAACATGGCCTGGTAATTACGCACACACATATAGCCAGGCTGTTCACGCTTTCAGTTGGTTGAGTGGATATCAGTTTGTTCTTTCTCTTTTTCCATGGGAAGCAGTATATCTTGCATCCACCCACAGGGGCTAGAGGAATGCGACTAGGTTTAGATCTGAAACCCGCATTGACGTCCACCTCTTGGATTAAAGGCCACTGTGCAAATACGAGGAGCGGGGAAAGGAGGCAAAAGGGATGTGACGATCATTGAGAACTTCATTTTCTTTGGGGAAAGGAAACGGAATTCAAAAATCATTTGGTAATTCCATCCATTACTGGTGCCTATTCTAAGACATATTAGATAATGACTGGTTACTTAAATAGATTCTGGTTTTAAGCTGTGTTGACTTCTATTTAATATTGAGTGTTAGTCACAGCAGTTACGGTGAAACTGGTCAAAGTGGGAAAATTAAAATAACTATCGATGAACCATTCATTTTTTATTCTAAATGCATATTTGTTTATCTCACAATAAGCTATATACTTTTTAACAACAAAAGAAACATATTTCAAAGCCAAATTATCCATTTTAATAAAACATGGGCAAAGCTGGGGGTGATTGACTGTATAAGCAATTGCATTTTCAAAAGTTGTTTTTCTCTCGTACAACAAATGGCGCTGTAACCCAATAGGCTGTTAACATAGCCACAGTGAAATCCTGTGGGGACCAGCTGTGCTCGTTTAAACTTGGGAGGGGGGCAACGAGGAGGAGGCAGAGAGGGTTTCTGAACTTCAGACTGCATAACTGAGATGCATTTATTGTTTTCAAAGATGGGTACATGATGGGAGAGGCGTGCGTGCTGTTGGAGTTAGCAGGTGTGCGACAGAGCAGAATTGCAGCTAAAGGAGACGGATGCAGCTTGGTTTTGGCAAATGCTATTAGTGATCCATCTCTGTGTTTGCATTCAAGCTGTCTTTGCCTGTGCTCCTGTAGGAGTGGTGAGAAAAAGAAAGTACACATTATAGCATGGATTGTTTTCAACAAGCTTAAAGTTTGCAAATCTGTTGAATCCCTCTGACAGCGTGTCTTTGCTGTCAAACAGAATGCCCAGCTGGCGGTGGCGATCCTGCTGGGGAGGGAGGGGTCCGGAGAGACTGCGTTCACCCTGCAACGAGAACATTAGGGATGCTTCTTCCCAAACTGTAAGCGGGGAGGAAAGAGCTGTCAGACATGCCGCCGAGAACCTGCTCTTTTTCACTTTACAGCTAATGCCTCATGAAATCGAAATCTTTACATACACTTCGTTAGGATAACTTTCCTAAAGAAAGGAGTCAGAAACAACATTAAGGTATATTATATGAATCCATAATTAAGACAAAGGCTTTGCTTAAAAAAAGAGGCAAGACTTTTGCTCATAGGTGATCCGGATTCTCATTGAGGCAAACGATCAAGCTCTTTTTTTTTTTAAATATAAAGTGAGAGATTTCACTAAAAAAGGTTAAAATCGAAGTGAGTAATCTTCAGTGCATAATGCAATTGTTAATTTTAGCTCCTTGCGTGGGTGCCGTTCTGACTTGAACAGCCGGCTGTAGCCTTCATTAGAGAAGAAGCAGGAGGCTTGAGACAGGTGGAGCTGGATCAAGCTGTGAACGTGATTTTGCTGGAAGCTGGTCATTAGTGTTAGAAACCTGCTCTTATTTCTTTCGTCCTTCACCCTACCATGATCGTTGCAATTCTTGCTATTGACATTTCATCTTTTTTCAGGTTGATGATGTGTCAAACTGTGTAAGGGAATCGCATGGACATGGGCATTCCGAACTGTTAATGGGGACATGGGACTCCAGTTACCTCTGATCACTTGTGTGGATTTTCCTGGTGTAGAACGACAGAAGCCGCTTAGTGAGTCGCCAAGACCTACAGCAGGAATCCTGCACAAAAGGTAAAAAGAAGTCTCGTTGCCTGGCTGTCATTTCATCTGTATTTTTGATTGTTATATAAATGTGCCTGTTTGCATAGAGCCTTTCATTAGATGTAAACAAAACAGACAGGGTCTGTATTAGAGACTCAGCTGGCTTCTCATTTGTACGATTGAACTCAATTTGTTCATTCCATTTTCCATTTTAAATCTGGTCGTGATCTGTTTTTTTATTGAAAGGCTCTGAAAAAAAGTTTCGGGCAACAGAAGTCGCGTCTCCTCCCTCTCTGCCCAGTACATTGAGAAACACGCTGTGTGTGCTATTGGCAAGCAGAACTTTTGATTTTGTGTAACTACATACATACCCAGTTTCACGGGAAGAAGAGAAATATGTCAAAATACACTGGATGGAACCGCTAAAACCTCCCCAAACCTGAAAGCATTGCTCATTAGTCACTCACAGACTCAAACCACCGTCCTTCGAGAAAACTTTTCCGTTTTCATTCCCACAATCCTTTGCCAAATGAGCCTTTAAAAGATATCATTAGATACCACCTGTCCTGTCACGGTGGGTCTTAGGAAATTTGCAATAGAAATTGCCGTGTTTTAGCTCTTTCTCATATTTCGTCTATCCTGCTGGAAATGAAGATACTGAATTAGCAAATGGTAATTAAACACTCCCAAAGGAACATTTCAAAACACTGATTTGTCCAATAATAATTACCCTTGTGATGACTGGGCACAGAACAGTCACTGCTTGGGAATTTTTGTGGGGGGAAAAAACTGGCTTTCTAGGCTACAATGTCCTTTTCTCTCTTTTCCTTTTTCCTTCCTTCTTCCCATTTTTCTTTCCTTTTCCTCTCTTCCCTCCTTTTTCCCTCACATCTTAAAAAAAAAAACCACTGAGGAGAAAGTAAATGCTAAATTATTCATGAGCCCCATTTGACAGCCTATCAGAAGGGAAAGTGTCAGGGGTTGGAGAAAAAGGAATAAATAACAAACAGACTTGAACTCTGAAAGCCACCCCTCGTGTCTGTGCAGTCGTGTGTTGTGAGCCCGGAGTAGCGCGGTTCAGGGTGATAACTTCCTCGGAGCTGCTGCCAGAGACGTGCTTGCCACGGATCCCTGCAGTACCAGCTTGGGAGAGGGCTTAGGCTTTGAATAACAACGCTGCCAGTTTGCAGCCTGACAGCGCTGGCTCCGAAAGGTTTATTGCGCAACTTAGATCCTATATTTATTATACTGGATTATTACCCCTGGAATTAATGTTTTGCCCCTTGTGGCATGTGCACGGTGTTCCTCATACCTGGAAAAGTGTGTTTATGGTTAAAACTGGTGGATAAGTTTTGAGTCGTCCTAAAGCTGCTACAGAACACCAGTACCACCTCTTGGCTCAGCTGTGCGGGGGGTCGTCTGTTCAAGAGTTGGAGAAATACTCTTTTTCTTTGCCTGCTACTTTGTCGTGGGGCACAGGGACTGTTAAATGTGTGTACGTGTCTCCGTTTATTTGTTTACCCATGTTGGTGGCAAGGTGTGTTCTCCAGTGTCTGTGTTTATGGGGGTGTGGGGAGGGCGACCGAATTTGCCTCTTGTGCTTGCCTTGAGTGCTTGATGTGATCTCGTTTTATTCTCCTTGTGTATAAAATTGGCAGAGATGCCCAGGCTGCTCATTTGAATTTGACATAAGGGGAGAAACGGAACATCTCAGAAATCATGGTAAATGCTTCACCTGGCTCTAACTTTACTTTCTGACGTCGTCACCTTGCAGGGCATCAAACCTTGCTATTTTAATTTGCGTCTGAAAGAATGTCTGAGCCAGGGGACCTGAGTCAGGCCATCGTGGAGGAAGGCGGGACCGAGCAAGGAAGGGCCACCCCAGAGAATGGTATTGTCAAGTCAGAAAGTCTGGACGAAGAAGAGAAGCTGGAACTGCAGGTAAGCCTGGGGGAAAACTAGGTCTCCGGCCACTGTGCACAGTTCCTTCTTCTCATTGTTAAGCTCTTTCGAAGGTTTGGTTTTTTCTTTTTGTTTTTTTTTTTTTTAAACCAGTTTGACTAGTAAAATGAATAGGAAATCTGTCAAGGTAATCCCTCTTTTTTGCTGACTAAATCGTGCTCAAAAAATGCCCTTTGAAATGAAAAATATCTAAAGAACATACTTAAGGACTACATTTGCACACAGCTCCTCCATACTAATTTCTAGACCACCTCGAGGAGTCTGTGGAAGGCTTTTCCCCCAAGGCAGCCATAGGTGAGCTGAGTTTTAAAAAAATGGATTTGCTATTCCAGGGAAAGAGGAAGACTCCGCTCATGACAGACTAGGAAAAGTCAAAGACGTGAACCCTGCTGATCTTCCTAGGCAGGCTAAGGTTTGATTCTTATTGGAAAACAAACGAAGCCCTAGAATTCTCAACCGGAGATGGAGAGAGGGAGACAGAGAGAGACAGAGAGACAGAGAGAAAGAGAACTACAAGGAGGAGGGGGGAGACTGGAAGTGAGGGTGACTGACGATACCGAAAAAGTGGCATGGTTAAGTACATCGTGTGTTATGCGGGGTGGGGGGAGAGATTTAGTAGAGGAAAAGCAAACCGTACTTGCAAATAGCTTGTATGGATTTTCTTTGAACCAAACTACAAAAGTGCTAACTCTTTTTATAGAGCAGAAAGCAAAGGCAGATAACCGTACAATGGCCTAAAGCCTTCAAGGTTGGCTTTTCTTCTCTCTAATAGCTTCTAAAGGAGAGAGAGCCACAGGTTCAATGGTCATTTGGGGGCACGAGGGAAGGGAGAGCCCGCCCAGTACTTAGAATGCCTTTGTTGCTATTACTATTGACTTCTCTGCTATAGTGACACATTTTGCCTCTCTTTCTCTCTCCTTTTCTGTCTCTGGTTGTTATTTACTGTTTGTTTGTTTGTTTGTTTGATTTTGCTTTATTTTATTTCTAACATACAGAGGCGACTGGCGGCTCAGAACCAAGAGAGAAGAAAGTCAAAGGTAGGGTTCTAGAGGGTCTATGTAGACCTGGTATCATGGATATCAACTGCATATTTTACATCTGAGTTCAAGGATTAGCCAGCAATCCAGGGGGCTCTGTGGAGATACTGTGGTGGATGGGGGCTGTACTGGTGCTGTCTGCTTTTAATGGGGTCGTGTTCACCTCTATCCTCCTTTTCCCGTTCTGAATGCTTTTTCATAGGAGCATTTGGGTTCGCAAATCTGCAAACGTACGGTGTCATCCCACATCCCCACGTGCGTGCAGATTTGACCATGCTTTGCAAAACAAACGGCTGCTTGTTTTGTTTCCACCGTAAGTTAAATTTGGGGCGAATGTTTTTTTCTCCCAGTTGATTTCCGCCCTGAAGTAAACAGGGGCTGGTGTTCGGGACACGTTATCATCTGTGTTAAGCATCTTCTCAGTTCAGTCGCTTCCAGGCTTCCTTTTAGCAGACATTATTTCTTGCCACCTTTTCTTTCGGGCATTCTCATGAAGCGGCAGCAGCTCAACACGATGGGCACAACTTGTTGAAAGTGTTCCTCAAATCCATCTGCTCACACCCCCCTCAGCTTGGTCCCCATCCACATGGGGGCCTGACGCTTTGGGCCAATGCAGACAGCCCTGAGTGGCTCATCTGAAGCCCAGTTGTAAGGTCTGGTTTGGGGTTGTCATGTGCAAGAGGAGATGATATGACGGCCTGAGAATGTTTTCTGTTTGTTTTCTTTGTTTTCTTTTCCGCCCCCCCTCTCTCCCCCTTCCAAGTCAGGCGCAGGCAAAGGGAAACTGACCCGCAGCCTGGCTGTCTGTGAAGAATCCTCAGCCAGACCCGGAGGGGAGAATCTCCAGGATCAGGTATACCCCGTGTTACTATCGTTACCTGCATGAGGGGGACCCAGCTGTGTGTGCATGGGTAGCAATCTGGCATTGAACAGTGCGTTGGGGGAGAAAAAAAAACGTAACAGAAGAAAGAAATCACTTTCTGCTTTTATCCCCTGCTTATGAGACATGCTGAACTAGTGCTGCAGTTTGTCACAGAGTATTACGTTTGCTTTTTTTCCAGACCCTCTGAAAACTGCAAATGGAAAGGAATTCAAAAGAATTTAGATTAAAACTTAAAAAGTAAGCCCGGTAGTGCTGAGTTCCCTCAAAGGCTCTCTGTTGATAAGACTGAACCAAATATAGCCCTAAACGCCCATTCTCCTTCCTTAGGGAAGATGCTTACCTCTCACCCCCCAAAAATACATCTGCCTATAAGAAACATAACCCTCAGCTACAGTCAGACTTTAGAAAGAGTGAAAAAAAATGCATCAAGTTTTGCAGAAATACTTCTATGGCCTTTAGTGGAGATGTCTCAATACTGGAAAAAATTACTCAGAAGTGAATCTGAGCTGATGGTGAATTTCAGTTAATATTATTAACATGTTGCTGCTTATCCTTAGAGTAACTGTTGCTAACCTACAGCAAGACTATTAGGCTCGAACAATGGAAATGCCAACAAAACCCTTTTGTGACAAAATGGGAAACTTCACATCATATATACTTTGCTTTGCCTTTTAGGCATCATATTAGCTTTTATTAAAATAGTCTTGCTGCTGCTATTTCCCTTATTTTATCAGAGACTGGGAGCAGCCAAGACAAAAGTGAAATGATTTATCTGAGCCCAGGGGAGGGGAAATTGATTTAAAGATATCATTATTTTTGTTGGGTCTTGTTTTGCTTTTCTCTTTGTGCTTTAATTGAAATACTCTAAATTCTCCTCATGGTTCCAGAGAGTATTGAGAGCACTTTCTTTCAAAGGACCAAAAACAAATTCCTTATAGATCTTGTCCTAAGAGTATTTTTTTTCCTAGCCTCATTTTCTCAACCTGCCACTCATGTCATAAGGCATGGACAGGCTACCTTTCCGTAGCCATCACTGTCTGTCATCCGCAAGCTTTCTTTTCCTTGGGTTCTGAGAAATGTGTGGCTTTTCTTCAGCATTTTATCTGTGCTTCTATTTTTAATGGAGATTGAAAAGGGGGAATCATGTGAATATCACGGCTTGTATTATTCGAATGTTGACTGATGGCTTGTAATGTACTGCACACAATATGTGTTAACCCTGCAGAATGAGAGACTCTGGGAGAAGAAATGCCCCAGTTGTCTCCTACTTCAATGCAGGGCAGAGGAGGGCAGCCTCGATAGATGTATTCTGATTTTGATCCCATTTGGCAAGGTACCAGGAGGACATTTTTTAAGAGGTCATCTGTATCATAGTGCCTGTCCTGGACCTAAGTCTAGTTTCTCCATACCATTGGTGCAGAGAAATAAGATGCAAACGGTGCTTTGCTCCTGCTGATTCCAAGATTAGCTTCGTAGGAGAGAATTAGAGCTTGCAAGCTTTTCTTTGGACTAGCTGAGGGGTGGTGGGAGCAGGGGGCTGCTAGAAAATACCCAGACGCACATGTAAGCAAGTGGCCATGCTAGTCTTTTTTAGAGAATAAAGAAGCAGACCTTTGAGCTCATATGCAATGCCTTCATTAGCTACCACCGGCACTTACAAAGTGTGGGATCTGAATCCCAGGGTGTGAGTATAGTGTGTGGATTGTATTGCTTCCCCAATGTTTGTACATTCCCAGTATTTGGAAAACTGCCTTCATTTTCTTGTGTGGGAAAAACTCTTGCTACCTGTATTACTTGATCTCAGACCCATAGTTGATGGTTCAGTCCGTCCTTAAGTTAAAGGAGTTTTGCTTTTCTAATGTTATACTCTTTATCTATCAGTGTATTACTGCAACTTGAATCATTCTTTTACTGTTGTTGGACATAAACTTATCCTGTACCAATGTATTTATTAACACTTGTATTTTATTATTGAGCATATCAATAAAAATATTAAAAAATAACAGATTGTTTTTTACCAACTTTATAGCACTTTTGTGTGTTCTTTCAACACCATGATGTATATTTATGTATAGAACAGAGAGGTGTTTTTCTGGGCATAATCTGGTTCCACACATGGCCCGAGTTTGTCCATTTTTTTGTAAATGTTGTCCATTAGCCTCTGTTCTTACATTCATGTTTCCAGGCCTCTTTGGTTTTAGATGCAAACTTTTGGAGGCTGGATGGTTCAACTGGTTTTGAAGAAGCAATGAGACCACTTTCATGGACTGGTACCCTCAGTTTCCCCTCCTGGTCAAATGTCAAATTGATTCTTCCCTACCCCTGCCCTGTCTTCTGAACCAGAAATGTTCCAGCTGTTTGCTTAGCAAGTAGAAACAAATCAGAACCCTAAAATCTGCCTGAAGCTTTGCAGACTAAGACATTTCTGTCCCAAATCAAGTGACAAGACCCTGTAATCAAATTACACTCAGTGTTACATGTTTTGTGTATGTTCATCCCCAGGATAAACATGTTGAATATCAGGAAATCAGCTAAGAGAAATATGTGTCATGAGAAAGCATTTTGTTTCATCTGCTATAGCACGTCTTTCCAGCCATGCTGACTTTTCGTGCCAGCCATGCATTCACAACGGAGCCCCTCCCACAAAAGAAATGCGGCTTTGAAGGACTTTGATGTCATGCTTGTTAGATTAGACAAGTTAACCAAGAGCCACTAAGAATCCCAGATTGGCCGTAATGTGAGGATATGCAGGCATCAGTTTAGTCACATGTAGATGAGCACTAGCTTAGTTTTCAGTGAAAAACACTATTAGTCATTGGGAATATTTTCTCCCCTACATCATGCATTTTAATGTCACTGGTGGCAGAAAGTTTTCCCATCAAGTGATCTGTTACATAAGAACATGTGGGCTCGATGTTGGCTAAGTTGTCATAATTTTAATCAGAGCATAGGTTTTTCATAAAACTGAAAAACATAATTTGGTTCATTCTTCTTCAAAACAGTGGATATACTATCAACCAGAGGACGGATACACAATTTAATACAAAATGACTCGTTTTGGGTACAAAATGAATAAATATAAAAGTGCCTTCAGCCCAAACACTGTAAATGGTCAATCATGCTGAGTATCAGTCTAAGAGAATCTTACATTTTATAAAGGATCGACTGATACTAAAATTAAACTAATCTTAAATATTTATATATAACTGATGGAAAATGTTCTATTCTCTATGCTTTCTAAAAGGCAATGCTTATTGTACCATATATTATGATGATTTGTTAAGGGCATTTGTGAACAATGTGTGACAATGATCCATACCTAAGATTCCTGCAATTATATAGTTTGATTTTTCTTAGTGGTAAAAATCACTGCTGATACAGTTCTAACATAGCCTTTTTATTGTAAAGTGGTTATTAGGGCCTTTATTTATGTTTGTTCGGTCTGTAATTATGATTCATAACATCTGTCTGTTGGTATTTGTACCAATTTATTCTGACAAGAAATTATAGGAAAGAGCAATAGAAGCTTCTCTTTCTTTGAGAGATGACACTGGCTGTAGTGCAAGCTTACTGGTAAAGCATTTTTTCCTAGGTGATTAAAATAAACCTGTAGAGAAAATAAGAGCTGTGATCTACAGGGAAGTAGTTTGCTTAAGGTTAACAACCATGAGGCAAAGTTTTAGTATTAGAGGTTTCTCATGACCTCCCATTGGCTTCTGAACTTGAATTCACCTTCAAAGGCAATTATTTTTTTTTTCTGACAGGTTTTTTACCATTTAAGAGAAGAGAAAATCTGTACCTGGCTTTCATTTTCCTATACTTAATAATCTCTCTGCAAAATGGAAACCAGACAGAAATGATTAAATCTGGCCCTAAATTATTATATTTTCTCCCCAACAGGAATCAATTCATTTACAGCTTTCCAGTTTCCCCAGCCTGCAAGAGGATGATAAATCTAGGAAAGATGACACTGAAAGAGAAAAAGAAAAGGATAAAAACAAAGATAAATCCTCTGAAAAACCCAAGATCAGAATGTTATCAAAAGGTGAATGTAAAAATGTTTCCTTAACGTACTCAGTTGGGGCACATGAAGAGTCACAGAATACATTCTAGGTTTTACATGCTATTCACCTCCCACCAAACTTTGCGCTTAACTCTGTGTGTGTGTGTGTGTGTGTGTGTGTGTGTGTGTGTGTGTGTGTAAACGATGTGAACTTGAATTGTTTCCCCATTCATGGTGTCATTATTTGTGTAGCCAGAAAGGTTATTTTTTAGGATCACATATGTTTCTGGGTTTTCATTTGGGTCTCCTAGTTTCAAAGATAAGTTCATACAAGCAGTGAATATAAATCTACTCTTGGTTCAGCTTTATTAGTCCCATTAATGTGGATTGATGAACAACAGTGATAGCCAGTTTTGCATCTTAACTGTCATGTTTATCTTAAAGGACAGGTAGAGCATTAGCAGTTCTCCATCCATAAGTGATGTCCTCTGCAAAGCACAGGTGTGTGTGTCCATGGCAATGAGAATGTACAACATTTTACCTGGCACGGATGAATTCCGTCCATGCCATCCATATATTGCCCCATAATATCTCACTTAAAATATATAGAGTTCTACTTCAGCGAAGTTTTCCCAAAATGTCATTCCTTCTAAACCTGCAAACCTACTCTCTGGACTTCTCAAATTATTGCCATATATAGAATTGCACAAAACTAAAAGAAAAACAAGAAAACAAAGGTAAAAACAAAACTAAGTTGACATGAAGGATGCCATGAAAAAATGGCTTTGCAGTAGACTTTCTTTTAATAACTGAGAAAGAATAGGGCATTGGATGAGCTGAGGAATGACGCCCATCTCCAATAGCACGCTCTATAACGGCGTATCTGCTTAGAATAATTGTCTTCACTGCTGAGTCTCTAAAACCCAAGGTGTACACGGAGTAAGAAGTACAGGTTCCTAAAATGGTTTTAGACATTAGGCTTTAGCTAGTATCAGAAGATTTTGAAAGACTTGGAAATACTTGGTATCCTCCTGTCTTTTGCCCTGATTCATATTTATTCTTAGAGCTTTCATTTTTTTGCCTCCTCTGTTTTAAGAGTGAGAGGGTTCCGTGGGATCTCACACTCCTGAGAGCTCTCTCTGTGGGCTGAGACTACCCACCACAGGGAGGTCGTGCCCTTGCTGATTTCAAGCACAAAGTGAACACGTGATATTTGACTCCGCCCATCACCCACCCAGACTGTGCCTACTTGCTCTCCCTCCTCCTATGACAGCTGGGTCCTTCCGTGCTCAGGATCTATTGGGTGTTCTCAATCCCCAAATCTAATTTTCATTCTGATGATATACTGCCCGATTGCTCGTTTTGAAATATGTATCTTTCATACAAATAGTTTCACCTAAGACTTACCTGAGCAGGAGGGAAATGGGGAGGTTGGGACAACCTTTTCGCCTCCCCGCTCCCGCCACCACCATCCTGACAACGTGATCGTGCTGTTTGTTTCAGATTGCAGCCAGGAATACACGGACTCCACAGGCATAGACTTGCATGAGTTTCTGATTAACACGTTAAAGAATAATTCCAGGTAATTCTTAAACAAACCTCTTATTTTTAGAAAAGTCACATGGAATATTACCATCAAGGTCAATAATCCAAATACTTCTAAGGAAGTGGTTGTGAGTGCTGACACCTTCTCTGATGTCTCAACCTACCTCTTGTATTTTCTGTTTTCTGTTACTAGTTTGTGTGTGCCTTATTGGTAGATAGTCTGAACGCCTGGGTGAATAAGTCATAGTTTAAAAATTCTGCTTTTTATCCTGGTCACAAAGATAGACTGGTTAATGGGGAAAATAAGGGGAAAAATCAGTATCAAATAAAGCAATTATACTTCAGTGCAGTTATATAACCATCTGTTTGGGTCTTGCTTTGTTCTAAGCTTCCAATTAATTTTAAATATACAATTTATGTGATGTGTTTTATGTGCATAATAACTTGCATAGCCTAAGTAATGTTAAAACTGTAGAAGTTTCAATGTTATAAAATACTTAATCAATGAGAAGAAAAATTATTTGAAGTAGAGTGATATGTATTGGAGAACATATTCCACAGAACAGTTAGACACAAGATTGGAGCCACATGCATTAAAACAACCTGTTCGCACATCCAGATAAACGTTGCAGGTCTTTGGCAATGGAAAGTACATAAAAACCCTTTCATTTTCACATTTGTTTTGCAGGGACAGGATGATACTCTTGAAAATGGAGCAGGAAATTATCGATTTCATTGGTGACAACAAGTATGTTCAATTGCAGCGCTGGTTAATTTACGTGGTGTATCTTAGTTTGGTATTTAGGTTTAATTATTCATTCTGGACAGATCTGGGGATAGATAAAGCATTGTTTAGTATATTTGATGATTGGCTACATGGCGATTTTATTGGAGTTAGGAAGTACACACTGATGGGAGTTGTTGCTTGGACCGTGTGAACTCCTGCTTGTTAAATTCCTGACAAAGTGGCTATAAACAGGGGGCCACTGATTAGCATAGAGTAGCTGTAACAAGAAGCGACCCTTTCCATTTATATTATAGTTTTTTAATGGGCTCCAGCTGGCTGCAGTCAGTTATGCCTGGAAATGATTGTGCTGCCGTCAGTGTAAACCGTGTAGTGACACATCTCCAGATAGGCATCTGCAGTCACATATTATGTCACATCATTTGTCCTGCGCCTGGCTCCGTGGATCAGGTGTCATGGACTAAAATAGAACGTTCTCCAACTGACATCCCATGCCCTCTGGTGAGAGAAATGTGCCCCACTGAAACAAAGATATTTATCGTCGCTTAATCGATAAGTCTACAGTAAGTGGAAAATTTGTCTCGCAATGGGAACATGAATTGATGCCGGAGATGAAGTGGGTTGGATGAAAGAGAAATGGGTGTGTGTGTGTGTGTGTGTGTGTGTGTGTGCGTGCGCGCGCACCTGTGCAATGTACTTCGGGGCCAGAAACAAAAATTCTGATTCCACTTTTTTGGGTACTCTCTTTTAGTAATCATTATAAAAAGTTCCCCCAGATGTCATCCTATCAGAGGATGCTCGTCCACCGCGTGGCGGCTTACTTCGGGCTGGACCACAATGTGGATCAAACAGGGAAGTCTGTGATCATCAACAAGACCAGCAGCACAAGAATGTAAGCCCCATGTCTGCATCTGTTTGGCATTTTCTTTCTCTCTTACGGATTCATTTATGGAGAGCCCAGCATAAAATTCCAAGTATATGACATTTAAAATGCGTGGTGTGATTTATCTCTTGTTCTTATCAGCAGTAGAGTGGCATTTATCTGTAGAAGCTTGTCTGAGGACCAGGGAAGTTGCTAAAATTCGGGCAATAAAGTGAATTTATTTCTCTGATCTTTAACATAACTCCTGAAACATATTTCTTTTTTTCTTCCATCCGCAACTCCATGTGATTATAAACAAATCCATGGAACATTTTATGTCAAAATATAACCCCAGTTAGAAATAGCAGACATTTTAAAACAACAATGACATATGCAGAATAGTTGTCTTTTTCTTTCTTTTGCTGGTTTGTAGACTTCTGTCTTATTGTGGCTTCTAAAGTAGCAAAAATCCTGCCTGTAAGACCCAGTTCTTTGCTTACTACCTGTGTGACCTGAAACAAAGCATTTAAAAACCTGCCGTCCCAGTTTTCTTCTTTTATAAAATGAGAGTTTTGAGTTGGATGGTGCCTAAGGCCTAGCTCTAGATGTAGGATAGTGGTTTTTGGTCCTTAAAAAAATTGTTTGCTTCCATCTTAATATCTTTCTGTGGTCCCACTGAGTCATCAAAAAAGCATGCAATGAGTAGTTATTTGCGTTGGAAATTTGGAGCTGTCTCTCTTGATCCCAGGTATCTTTTAAGTACAGAGAAAGCCACTTTTATAAGCAAAATACATATTCAATGGAAAAAAGACTGCCTTCAGCCTTCTCTTAAAACATTTGCATGTTATAATGTTGTTGTTTTATAGTGTGCTTGGTACATTGCGTAAACTGCAGTTTTTAGAACTGCTATGTCCCTGAAGTGAACTTCTGTGTCAAGCTAAGCAGCGTGGTTAAAACACTTCATTTTCTGCTCGTCAGATGTTGGGACACGGTTAGGGATGGAGAGGAGGCACTCTCTCTACTCAAGGCCCAGTCTGTGTGCAGCAGAACCAGAGAGAAGGTCAGAGTGGAGACCTGGGAGGTCTGGGACAGAGCTGGGCTGTTATCTCAGGGACAATGAGCACTGCAGCTCTCCGGGCCTCCAATTACTTATTTATCCGCAGGGGAGTTTGAAGTGGATCGTGGTTAACAGCCCTCGAGGCCTCAGAATCATTGGGTCTTGTGGTTGTTTTCTACTTTGCTGGCAGAACACATTTTAAAGTTTATCAGCTGCCCACTTTATCTGATGGTTAGCACATGCGCTTCCTCTTTTGAACACTAGTAGAAATGAAAATGCACTGTCCTTCAATTCTTTATCTCTTCCCTCTCCATCACATACTCCTAGTGATTGCTGTTGTCGTTGTTTTTAATTCTCCATTCTGCCTTTTCTGTGACTTTTCAGATCCCTCAAGGCAGGGAGGGACATGGTGATGGTGAAATAGGCAAGCAATGAACTATATTCTTTTAATTTGTCCATCTCCTCTTTCTCTACAAAGCCATAACAGAAAAGCCTATAGGCCCAGTAGACTGGTGCAGTTTCAGCTGGAATAGATAATGCACTATTTTTAATGCGCACTGATGTTGCAATCACATCAGTCACGAATATTGGTGCCCATGTTTGACACTTGTTCTCTCGCAGAATTGACTGCTTTCTGGTTGACAATGAATGGAGTTTTTGAGTTGACATCTGCCATGTTGTGTTTCCAACCCACAGTTCAAGTTGCCTTTCCCCCATATATTGCCAGAAATAGGTTCCATTCTCCAGCACTTTTAGATGTTTTCTATTGGAGTTCTTCGTTACCTGTCAGGTTAGGTGTCAAAACCAGATGAGCCTCTTGGAAATCTGGGGCAGAAGTATTAGGGTCTGCGCTACTTTGGCACCACAAACGATGTTTATAATGTATTTACTCTCTGTAATGTTGCTTTTTTCATATTCAGGATTGAGGCTGAAAATGGGAATAGTAATTTTATTAAAAAATATTTACATGCAACAAATATAAAGGCCTGTTTTTATCTGAGTTTTTCTTTTCTTTGTCTCTCTTTCTGATCTACATTTTCTCTTGTTTATTTTGCTATGCATTTAGCCAGGAGCGGCTCATTGGTCTTTTATTAGATGATTATTTTCAGCTCCCTCTCTTCTTCACTCTAGAGAAAGGACTCACGTTCAGGGTATATCATTTGGAGACTAGAAACCATCTGCTTGAGCTGGCATCGTCCAAAGGGCCGGCATCAGTCCCCTGCAAAGCCGCATGTGCACCTGAGTGCCTTTGCATCTGTCAGAGTAATGGCTGAACTAGTCTCAGATAACTTTCAAGTTAAAATGTTGTCATCTCTTGAATGTTTTTTTCTTTTGTCTTTCACATTCACCCACCCTCATTGCCTTAAATCCCCTACCCTAAAAGTACACAGCAAAGAAAGGAAATAGCAAATCCTCCAAAGGAGACTGGTTACAGGTCCCAGACCCCGTGAAACAGTAGTGGCCCAAAGGCAGAGGTGTGGGGCGGCACCAAGAGAGACCAGTGCTCAAGAACTCCGAGCCCTGATGGCTGAGATGTGCGGACCTAGGTGTTGGCTTGGTGCGATGAGTGGTATTAGTGACTAACGTACTTTGCCCGTCTGTTCTGGAAGGGGTGAGTGACTGAGCTGGCTTTTAGGTGAATCACAAGAACCATAAAACGTGTTCTGGTATAAATGAAGCTTCACGCTCGGTGAAGCAGTTGAGCCCAGGTGACTTTAAGAATCTTGAAGTGGTGGACAATTACGGCACTAAGCGGTAGGATGGTGGATCCTTCCCCTTCTCGGTGGGCAGCGGTACGCCAGAATCACTGGACACCTATTCTGCTCTGTTTCCTGAAGGTTTAAAGTGGGAATCTTTGCTCTTTGATCCTTAGGCGTTTCATTCCCCAAAGGTGGTTAATTGCATTTATACCAAAACAAACACGTTTCCTCCCACCTTGGTTGTATCTCTTTCCCTTGGGCGGGGAATGTGAGTAGCACCAGAATAAACTGAGCAGCGTCCTGATACGGAAGCTCGCTGAACAATTCTCTGAAGAAGACCAAGCACCTCTTGGGAATCCATGGGTGGCTGGTTGGCATCCTGTTGTTGCTAAACGTGATAAATTTACTCTGAACTTTTTGAAGGGATAGCATTGGAAATCATCTGCTTGAAGTCAAAGGTCCAGACACCTGACTCAGAATTGCATTACTCTCAGAAAAACCAATGAAGTTTTATTTACTGAGCAACTTTAATCAATACTCAGGCTCAAAGTAAGAGCTATCTGTTAGCTTTGGTCCAACTCTATCTCACTGCTCTCCAATATTATATTTTTTGATATTATTATTCTCACATGCTTCAGAGACCATAAGTTTCTATGGATGAGAAAGATAAATCATAGGAATCTATTGTTGCATTCCTTTCCCTGCTTGGAATTATTTATGAGACTTTGAGTGTCAAATGTGTAAATTACCACTCGATTTTAAAAATGAGACATGCTTGCGCCTTCTATAATGTTAACATTCTTAATATAACATTGTTTTTTAGTTTTTCCATGGAGTAAGGATACTCTTGAAATTTTTATTTATATATCTTACAACATTCTAGGTAGATAAACCCCAACCATTTACAGGAGTAAAAAACAAGACTCCTGTCTTGGTCTCTCTTACCTACTCACCTCACAAAGCCCAAGACTGAAACCCACTTCTCCTGGCGCTCAGCCGTGGCTCTCCTCTTAGAGTTAGGAAAACAAGAGCTGATCTTCATAGAATCAGTACTCGGAAGCGGTGACAGAAGCCAGAAGAACCCCAAACACTATTCTTTCACCCGTGCCCATGGGTTTCCTTACAACATCCTAATGTGCATTTCATTACTTTAAAAACGGAACAGAGAACTCAGTCCAACAATGTTTACACTGAGATGAAAGCTAACACTCTGACCGCAATAGAACTCCAGAACCACGGAACCCACCGGATTGGAAATTGTCCTGGCAGACTTGGAAGAGAGATAAAACCCATGTTCTTAACACTTGCCAAGCAAAAAGTACTTCTCAGGCGTTCAGCACAGGGCCTTCAACAAAAGAAGTATAGACTATTGAACATGCCCATCTTCTGGTTATAGTGTATTTGAGGAGCCAATGTAATTTTAGTCAGGACTTTGTGTGTGTGTGTGTGTGTGTGTGTGTGTGTGTGTGTGTGTGTAAATTGATTATCTGTGTTACACAGTTTGGGACAATTTAGAGAGAGGTTCACTATACATATGCTATATGTAATAAAATAATAGAGGCCATGAAGGAAAAATTGGAAACTATTCAGAATATAAGACTATTTTAATTGTATATAATCCCGCGATTAGAATCAACCCACTTTTAAATTGTTAACCTGTTAAATTAACAAATTAGCATTTTAATGGTTAGCCCTTTTAATTGTTAAATTGCTAATTTGTTTCACATATATATGAAACGAATTCATATATACATACACACACACACACACACACATATATATATGGTATTGCCCTAAACATACAATAGTATTGGAGGGAGCAAGACCGCTGTGGCTGGGTTCCTCCGTCTGCAGCCGTGCCTGCTGTAGGAGCAGGGTGACCCTCAGTTCCTGAGAGCACTGTGGTTTCTGTGTCATGGAAGTCGGCAGTCATTTCTGCACTTGCACCTCGAGAAAAGTTCTAGGGCTTACTTGTAGGTGAGAGCCTGGTGGTATACAACGGATAGTGGGTCTTCTTGTGTCTTAGTCATCTTAACATTTCTGTTAGCGGACAGGTCATTAGCATATTGCTATGGCTTCAGAAAAGAGGTCATTGAGGCATCAAGTAGGTAAAAAAGGCTCTGGTTTATTGGTCAAAGGTGTCTGGTTTCCACTTAGTTGTATACTGAAATGCTAGACTGTAATTATTGATGTGAATCTTCAAACAATACATTGGAACCTACCAAAAGAAGCGGACACCCACCTAACATATTTGATCCCGCAACAAGACTCCT